ACACACACACACACACACACACACACACACACACAACACACACACACACACACACACATACACTCACACACAAACACACATACAAACAAACATACACACAATTCCTGGCATCATTGACACCTCTAATTGATATCCACACTGTTTACCCCCCAGGTATTTGGGTTTTTAGGCCTGCTCGGAGTTGTGTCCCTTGCGCACCCGTTGTACCTGTATTGGAAAGGGAGACGACTGGCCAAATCAAACTTTGTCGCCTCACCCAACTGACATCCTGTGTATAGTGGAGCCTCAAGACCTCTTTTTAAATGAGTTTCAACGTTTTACTGACTCAATCTCGATCAAGGACAGGGGGTGGGATGCTTTGTTTTGGCCTTGTCTGTCAGGGCCAATGCGTCTGAGTGGAAAATAAAACTATCATCCCAGCAGCTGGGCTGAGAGGAAATATCCCCACCCGGGAATGGAACTCACATCTTGTGTGAGAAGCGGCGAGTTAAAGAATCTGTACTTTTAATGATAATAATCTCAGTTACTTTGATTACAGCAAGATCATATCCTTAAATATAATTATTGTTGGCAGTATTGGTTGTGTGATACACTGCGATTTTAAAGTGGACCTCCGCCCCCTCTCCCTTTTTTCCGCAAAAAGAAACGACCAAGAAAACTAGCAGATCACAAAATCTCTTGTTTACACCATTTTTGGGACTGGTGTTGGTAGGCCTTTTTTTTTGTTGAGTACATCCTCTGCTTGTGGGAAATTTGCATCCAACCCAGACTGGGTTTTCTCTGACAGGAAGGGGTGAAGCAGCCCATCTTCTAAATAACAAGTCTATTGGGTCTGTAATGGAACAAGTGCATATTGACAGTAAAAGCTACCTCCACGCCGACAGAAATTCCTTGTGCATGATGTATGCTAGGGGGAACCACACTTATTTGTTTCCTCAAACTTAGTACAAGTCAACCTTTTTACAGTCAGCGCTCACTTTCACCTCGTTTTCGAAGTTAACATCTTGGTATCTATCACCTACTTGTACCTATAGTATGTATTTCCAAGCAGGGCATTCAATAATACTCGGGTGCCCCCCC